CTGGCCGCTGAGCTAGCAGCCATGACAGACCCAATGGAACGAAGAGAGAGGGAAGACAAGCAAAAGCTAGCATGGAAGTTGAGAATGAAGAGGGAGAAGAAGAGGAGGAGAGAGGAAGTGAATAAGATGACCGCAGCAGTGGCAAAGGTGCAGGAGTGTAGAGCGGAGGTGCTGGCCCAACCAGATGATAAGGCCAAGTGGGACAAGGTACTGGGCTATCTAGAGGTGTTGAGCAAGGCCTGGATGGAGGAGCGCCAGGCAAGCTGGAGCCAGGATGTAGCGTTGAGTGCCATGCGGTCAGGGGTTAGAGACTTTGCGCGCGAGATCGTCACCCATATTGGGGGCGAAGTGAAGCAATTGAGAGATAATGTAGGGAAGTTTTGTGAGGGCGCCATTCAGGGTGCCAAAGCTGTAGCCGCCGCAGAGGGAGAGGCCAGGCCCCGTAAGGACCCTGTGAAGCTTAAGTTTCCGGATGCATACGGGGGAAAGAAGGAAGAAAACTTTGACAACTGGGAAGCCAGTGTCAATAGTTATATTTACTTGCAGCATATCCTGGCCGAGGAACAAGTCCTTGTGGCCTTCCAGGCCCTCAAAGATGAAGCGGCTAGCTTCGCCAGGTCTCTTGCGCGTACAGCCGGTTGTGAAAACAACCTGGTTGCATATTCCAAAGTCACTTCTCTCTCCCGATACCTCAAGCTCCTCAAGGAGCGGTTCGCTGACCCAACGCGAGGCATTAGAGCCTCTGATAAGCTCCAAACGATCCACTCCCGGCAGTGGAGGAGTGCCAAGGCACTCAAGGGTACCATGGACGACTTCGTAGCTGTCCCGGAACACGGGGTCACTGAGCCCTAGTTGGTCCAGTTGTTTTATCGTGCCATTCCAGAGGCCCTACGTGGGCATTTCTTTGACAAATCTCAGCAGGCCGGCATGACTTACGATGCATTGAGTAGAGAAGTCGTCCTGTATGAGTCAAAGTCTATGCCAATTACCACTTTTGGCATAAGGACCTGGAGAAGGGAAAAAAGTGGAAAGATCGTACCATCTCGGGCCAAGTCAAGGCCAAGGATCACTTGATCCTGACATTAGAGGAGGGTGGTACAGAAGAGGTCCCATATGATCAGATTGAGTGGGGCCTAGGGGAGGAGTATAGTAGTGTAGGGCAGGGGAGGTCTTACGCTGTTGTCGCGGCCGGAGGGAGGCCGCAAGGTAGAGGAGGAGGCCAGGGCCAAAGGGGCCAGGCCATGGGAGGCCGAGGACCGGGCGCACAGGGGGTTGGCGGACAGGGAAACCGCCAAGCGAGAGGTAGGGGTCAAAGTCCCCCGTTAAATCGCCAGGGTAACCGGTCCCCACAGCGAGGAGGTGGAAGGGCACCTCAAGGAGGATGGCATCCAGTGAGGTTAAGACTGCCCGCTTGTTCCATGTGTCGGGTGTAGACAACACCTTGGCACATTGTTGTCTCAGTGCTCCCGCGTCCGCGCGATTAGTCAAAAAGGAGCAGTTAGAAGACCAGGTCTTTGTAGTTTATGTTAGACCTGACACTGAGGCCCAGGAAAAGGATAGCTCCACAGATCCAACAATTGCCAAGCTGCTGGAAGAATTCAAAGACTTGACTGAGTCGCCGACAGGAGTAGTGTCGCGACCCATCCAGCACAGGATAGAGATAGAGCCTGGCAGTAGAACTCCTAAGGGTGCAGTTTACAGGATGTCCCCTAGAGAGTTAGAGGAGCTTTGCAAGCAGTTAGACGAACTCCTTGAGAAGGGTTGGATTAGGCCCAATTTGTCTCCCTTTGGAGCACCAGTCTTGTTTGTCCCCAAGAAGGAAGGAGAGCTTCGTATGTGCATAGACTATAGGGGTTTGAATGCGATCACCGTGAAGAATGCTGAGCCGCTGCCCAGGATAGACGATCTTTTAAATCGGGTGTAGGGTTGTAAGTACTTCTCCAAAATAGGCTTGAAGTCCGGATACCATCAGATAGAAGTCCATCCTGATGATCAGTATAAGACTGCATTCCGGACTATATATGGGCACTATGAGTTTATAGTGATGCCCTTTGGAATAACCAACGCACCAGCCACTTTTCAGCGTTGTATGAATGACCTGTTTAGACCATGGCTAGATAAGTTTGTAGTAGTCTATCTAGACGATATCCTACTTTTTAGTAAGACCCTCCAGGAGCATCAGGGTCATCTGAGGCAGGTCTTGGAGAAGCTTAGAGAGGCTAACTTCAATATCAACGCGAAGAAGTGCGAGTGGGCCAAGATGCAAGTTTTGTACTTGGGCCACGTATTAGACGGAGATGGCATCAAGCCAGAGGACAGCAAGATCGCGGCGATTAGAGATTTGCCGACGCCCCAAACATTGACAGAGTTGCGGTCGTTCCTAGGCTTAGCTAACTACTATAGGAAGTTCGTGAGGAACTTCTCCATTATCGCTGCCCCCTTGCGCAGACTGCTAAAGAAAGAGGCAATCTGGCAATGGGACAAAGACTGTACGTCTGCGCTCAAGAAGTTATCGCGTTAATCGAATATCCCGTCCTCAAAGTAGAAGATCCGTCCTTGCGATTTGTCGTTACCACGGACGCAAGTCAGTATGGGATAGGCGCCGTGTTGCAGCAAGACGACGGCAATGGCTATAGACCCGTAGAGTTCATGTCAGCGAGGATGCCCTGTGAGAAGGTTGCTACCTCCACGTACGAGAGAGAACTCTATGCTCTCAGGCAGGCTTTAGACCATTGGAAGCACTATCTGCTTGGGAGGCACTTCAAAGTGTATTCTGACCACGAGACACTTCGTTGGTT